CCTCTCTCCTTCTCTCTCTCGCTCGCTCTCTCGCTAGATTCTCCCTCTATCATCATTGCAGCTTCTCGTCCTATTCAAATTGAAATATCCAATGGAAATAAAGCAATAACCATTTCCCCCTCTTGGCGGATGAAGACAATAAATAAGGTGAGTTTCCCTCTGAGGCGCTGCCGTCAGGATAGAGCAGATACATAATGAAGTTATGAAAATCGGTGATGAGACAAATTGGGTCATATACATCTTTTTAATAAATGGCTTACAGAGATCACAAGCTCTCCACTGCCATTAATACAGAGGTAGCAGGAGAATAAAAAGAAAAGGCTTGTATTTTTTTCCTTCTTCAATGCCTGAAACGAGCATAATTGAATGAAAGCTGTTGAGGTAGGCTGCTACACTGCCGAAGACAAGAGAGAGTGAATGTTGTGGATCCAAGAGGTCAAGGCTTTGCTGGTTAGTTCGGCCCCCATCTACAGCTGGTAGATGCTGTAACTACACCATGACAAAAATAACCCATCTTTCTCCATTGAAAACCATTTAAAAATATTCTGATATATATATAACTGATAGGGGTTGTAAATACAGTAAAAATAGTAATATTGTGAAATATTACAATTTAAAATAATTGTTTTCTATTTTAATATAATTTATTCCTGTGATGGCTAAACTGAGTGTCACATGATCCTTCAGAAATTATTCTAATTAATTAACCAATTAATTAACCTCAGTAATCAAACTAATTAATCAAACATTCTTTTATTATTATCCATGTAACAGTTGTGCTGCGTAATATTATGGTGGAACACATGATACCTTTTTTGGGGATTCTTTGATAAATAGAAATAAGAAAAGCATTTGTTTGTTACTATTTTGCTACTTTTGTAACATTAGAAATGTGTTTACTGTCACTTTTGATCAATTTTTTAATGCATGCTAGCTGAATAAAAGTATTTTTTTAATTAGACCCCTAAACTTTTGGACAGCAGTGTATATAAATATTTTATATATTTATTTAAAGATATGTATTTTTAATATATTATTTGTAAACAGCAAATAATTAATTATATTATATAATACATTATATTTATATTATATGCATACATTGTATATTATAGTAGAGGATTTACCAGTTCCCAATTCATTTTGAAGCCCCAGATTCTTTATAAATCCACATCTCAGGATAGTTGTTAGTGAAGGGTTTGGGACTGTGCGCATGCCAGTCACAACTGTCATAACATAATTTACCATATTTACAGCTCAGCTGATTGGTCAAAACATCCTGAGCACCGTTAAGCAAAGATGGCAGATTTTCTGCTCTCTCTCTCCAGGTATTACAGGCCTCCTCGGGCAGGCCTAGTAAAGGTGGAGTGGTGTGAGTAATTTAATTGTCGCTTTCTGATGGCAGTGAACTGGTGGTGGATTTTGCCATGGTGTAGGTGACAGCTCAAATATATATTCTCCTCGTGGCCCTCTCCTTCTCACTCTCTCCCCACCTGTGATCATTCTGTAAAGTGATGACATTTTCTTATTATCTTTAGCTGACATTTGTATTCCAGCTCTCTGAATTCTGTCACTAACCTTTCTATCTGGTCACAAACCTACAGAGATCAACCACTTCATGTAATTCTAATATGACCTGAAAGCTGTGATCTAATCTCTCGTACTGCAGTATTTTTACATGTTTGGGTTCTTTATGTTGTTGTGATGATCAGCGAGCTCCTGGTACTCCCTTCCTCACACACAGCAGCCCCTGCTTCCACATGGCTGTGTTAATCATTTGAACTGGGAAACAAGAGCCGCAAACACTGCCTGAGAGCGGTGCGTTTCAAAGGCTCCTCTTGACAGGAAGGAGGATCTCTCCTTGAAGCGCCTGAATGCAGTTTACTGTCAAGGAAGGAGGAATAAAAAAGGTGAGATATTCCAAAATCACAGCGGGGGCAGCTTGGAAGCTGAGCTAAGATATCCTGAAAGAAATTGGAATCCCCGGGTTTGCGCGTGGCAGGGTGAAGGGGAGGGGACAGCAGCCGCAGCAATGCAGCGCTCCATAGCTTCTTATCACATCAGACCTCTGCCTTTACAATGACCCACAATAAATACGGGATACCCCACAGAGCAGACTGAAAATAACATCCTGCCGCACAATGTGTCTTATGAGAAATGCCCTCAAAGCCTTCAGTACATTTTCTGCTGTGGCTTGGGGTTGTAATACATATGTAGTCAGGCATGTCTTTAGCCATTCAGGAGAGAAGCTTGGGCTGATCAAAAGAAAGGAGATGTAAACGGAGACCCCGGTGCGGTGCCTCTGAAGACTTTATGGCTCGTTACACAGACTCAATGTGATATGTGCTCAGGTATTTCTCTCTGAGCGTGGACTGAGGACATTGACTTCAGCATGACCTTTGTTTATGTGGGTTTATACGGGACCATCAGAAACTAGACAAGGTTGAGTGAAAAGAGAGCTCACATTGTGACAACATCAACACCAGTTAGGTGCTGCAATAAAATAATATTCGGATACATGGACGCCCCAATGATTACACTCAGGCAAGCTGTAATTTTCAATCTGGATGTGGAATAAGACCATGGTCTCACTGATTTGTTGGTACCATTATCAAAACGCATGATTTTTTTATGATTATTATTTTGAAGCCATGAAATGTTTGGTTTTGATCACTCTTTCTAATGAAGATGTATAAGAAAATCTATACCAGATCTTTAGAAATATGCTCTGGTTAAGCTCAGGTATTTGCGCTTTTTTACTAAAACTTGATTATTTGCACTTATGTTATGATGTCAGATTCTTTATCATATATAAACTATCTTTATAATATATACACACAATATGTTATAATAATTTTATTACATTTAAATCAGATGTTTCTATAATTTTAACAGGATGGAATGTTTTAGCATGAGACAAACCAATAAAAAAAAAAAAGAAATTAAAAAAGTCCATGTGATTAAACTTAAACTAAAGTCATATTACACAGTAAAAAATATTTTTTTAAGTTGTAAATAAAACAAAAAAGTATAAGACAATACTATAAGTTTTTCTACTTCAAAATTTCACGTTTAATTTAAATGTTACTTGCCCTTTCTTTTTAGTTGTTTGTGAAATTTACTAGCAAAATCTGAGTGAAAATTGTTTCTACACCATTTTTTTTTCAGTGTACGTATTACACTGAATTATGCACCAAAAAATATGTCACTTCCTAAAGGATGATGCCATTAAGGCATCATTACAAAATATTTCAGATAAATGCTGTTCTTTTGAACTTTCTATACATCAAATAATCCTGAAAAAAATGAATGTATCTTGGCTTCCACTAAAACATTAAGCAGCACAACTGTTTTAATTATTAATAAGAAGTGTTACACTTTATTTTAAAGGTGTCCTTGTTACATAACTACTGTATACAATTAAGTACTGAGTAATATTAATTAACAACATTTACTTATTATAAGGTCTTGAGTGTACTTTCTTGAGCACCAAATCAGGATATTAAATTCAGCTTTGACATCACAAGAATAAATTCCATTTAATTAAAATTGATATATTAAAATAGAAAACAGTTATGTTAAACTTTAGCAATAATTCCCAATATTACTGTTTTCACTGTATTTTTTATAAAATAAACCTTGCCTTGGTGAGCATAAGAAACTTAAAAAAAAACAAAAAAAACAAACCCCCCCCCTCCCCCCCGTACAATAAGTAAATATATAAGGGGAAAAAAAGGAAATTATGTATTTCACAAGTCACAAGGTTTTTAGATGCTTGAGAATTCCTTTCAGTCCAGTAGTGGAAGTGCCTGTGTCTATGTGTGGCAGTGTGTGTGTGAGGGAAGGAGGGGGCTGACATTCTGAATGATTCATCTCAGTGAGAATATACCTGTCCTGAGTGTAAATTGGCCTTTTGGGGGCTCCATATCATTTAGGCATGCTTCTCACCCTGGGTCAAACGGCGGCTGGAGCTTTGGAGTCTTTTAATAAAACATCTCACAATGTTCATGCATTACCGCCAAGAGCAGGGGCTGCCGCTACTCACAAAAAGAGCACGCAGGGAATAGAAAAAAAGAAAACAAACAACAAACAATGGCAGGCTGTTGGCCCTGACTCTACTGGCAAGATGAAATACAGTAATACAAGTGACACTCTTTAGAGCAGAGCATCTGCTCCACCTATTCACTGCAGGATTTGATTAAATCAAGAGGAACATGGACAGCCATTCCCCTAGTTCAAGTCTGGCCCATGGGTCCACCATGTGGTCTGAATGTTTTTTTTTTCTTCCTTTCATAAAAAGGTAACAAGATTTGATCTCTGCATTTACATTTTACATTACATTGGCATGAACAAGAGTGTGAACTAGGCCAGTACACAGAGGCTAACCAATCATAAGAGAGGTAATTTACATATACTGTGTACTGTCTTAATGGTACAGTAACAACCTGTTCAGTTCTAGGGGTCAAAAAGAGCATGATTGGTTGTGTAAAATTAAATTGGGAATGCTTTTGGCTCAATAAACCTTACACATGGACCACAGGGTGTAAAAAAATAACAGAAAAGTGCAGAAAAATGGCTTCTTTAAAATGCAAGTTACACATCAGACAGGACTCGCTCTGTGGATTTTGCTGAAGATCTCATAAATAAATTCTATCTGGCCCTGCATTTCATCCTTACAATATGGCAGTTATAACATGTTATAATTAGGGTTGGGTATCGTTAGACACTTTCCGGTTCCGATTCCGGTTCCAGTTTTGCCTAACGATTCCGGTTCCATTTAAATGAACAATTTTTTTTTTTTTTTTTACACTATTTTACCTTCATTGAATGTAGTGTTGCTGGAAGGTAGCAAGTAATGTTGAGTAATGCTAGTTCATCAATCACATGTGCTTCAAAGTTGATGTTTTTTACACTATCAATAACATTTTGCTGTTCAAGCAGAAATAAGCTGGTTGGCCAAATAGTCCCTTGAGGGCTAAGACACTTGTTAATTTCCCTAAATTAATGAAATATTAACTGTTATACTTATAACCATGTATACACACACTCCATAAAGCCCCTATTTTACAAATAATAATGCAATCAGGAGATGGTGTGATGCAATGAGTGGTTTCCACATTTTTAAACATTTAAAATGCATGAAAACAACGTGCAGAGTTATCAAAGACGCGAGTGCGCATACAGTCATGGAAAACGATGTGTTCGGCAGTTAAAGACGCGGCGCGTCTGTGGAGTGCGCGTCATGGGAAACAATGTGCTCAGTAATTAAAGAGGCAGGGCGGCGTTTCTGTTATTTGGTTTGTGACATCCTTACGGGAAACGCCGGCACAAGGCCGCTCACAGCGCTTGGTCACGTGTCGCACCAGAACCATTTTCGGAACCGAAACTTAGAAATTGCTCACGGTTCTGGTTCTTTTCAAAAAACAGAACCGGTTCTGAATAAGAACCGGTTCTCGGTTCCCAACCCTAGTAACAACAGATCTCATTTTATTTTTATCTATAAAACTGCAGCTTGAATAGTGGAAAAATATTAACTCTTTCC